CCAGCCCACCAGGCTCTTTCCTGCCAGCAGTCGCTCTGGGGCCTGCTGCTGGGTGGTCTCACTGCTCTACCCTTTCTTATTTATTTCTGGATGTCCTGGCCAAAGGTCAGGTGTTTAAAACTGACATTGGGGAGGCTGTCTTACAATGAATTTTGATGCTTTGCTGTGCTGGCGAAAGCACACACTGCATTTCATGGGTAGTCTATGTAGCTTTTAGAAAGGGCAAAACTATTTGGAATTTGTGCTGTCCGATTGTTTCAAAAGTACTGTTGCTAAATCTCTGCAGAGATGGACCTCTGCTACCCCCAGCTAATAACTCTCATATTCCAGTAGATTTGCATGGAGAGGTTAACTCCATATTTGTTTTTAGCATTTTTTATTAATATTACTACTAATCTCTGGGAAATGAGATTTCGGTTTTTAAATATTTAAGCAGACAAATAGTGTGCAATACTTGGATAATGTTTTACTGTGATCTCTGAGAAAAAGCCTTAATAGATCCTTTGCCTCTAAAGGAACCTTGAATGGCTTTGGGGATCAGGAACGGGACACAATTACTTTCACTACCAGTTTGTTTTTTGAACTTTGATCAATACTGACCAAAATGGGATTGTCTGGTGACACTGAAGGAAGCTGGTGTCACTGATTTCGTTCTCATGAGGCAACTGCTTTTATCTCCAGCAAGGGAAAAATCAGAACTGAATTACATGAATTTAAGGGACCTGGCTGCTCTCAGATGTGGGCTTCCAGACAGGGACGGAAGCTTCCTCGTGGAACAGTATCATGAAGCAAGTGCTGCTGTCTCCCCCGTGTTCCTCTGCCTATGGCTGCACAGGGGACCTCAGACTCCAGGGTTTTGAAGCTGAGCTGTATCTTGAAGAGGAAAATAGATGCAAGTGAGCTCAGAAAACGTGACTGCACTTAGTATGGGAGTATTTGAGCATTTCACAGTGATGCGGTAAGGAGGGAAGCTGGCTGACACCTCTAACATTTGTTGGTGCTGTTAATGGGATCACTGAGTAACTTCTCAGCAAATTGTTTTCTGCTTTTGCCTTGGGATGTTCTGTTATGGTGCGTGTGTGTGTGTGTGTTAGCCAGCAAAACTTCTGAGCAAGTACTCCTTCCACCTAGTCAGCGATGCCTGGACAGGGGCAGATGAGGGCGCAAAAATTCTTGGAGCTGAGAATCTGAAACGTTTTTTAATGGGAAAATTTGCCTTTTTAAAACGTACGGTGATTTGTTTTTTAATTTATGAATGTCGATTTTTAGTCACGTGTTGATTGTAACGAGTGGAGCGTTACCAGTGCCTTACGGTCTTACTGTACGGAACGGTTGCTTGGTGATTGCTGCTTCTGCAGTGGTGGCTCTGTGCACAGCTTTGCTTCATTTTTACACTTGTTTTTTTACATTCTTTTTCCTTCTTGGTGGAGGTGATTCTTGCATTTTTTTGCTAATCCTCAACATTTCAGTGCTTGGGAAAACGATGGCTTTAATCTGACAGGGGACCTGAAATCCTGTTCCTCTCTCTTCTCATTCCTATCCCAATTTTGCCTGTATAATTAGAGCAGGGGACTGAGAATCTCTCATCGTGTTCTCACAATTATGCCCTGGGGCTGCCGTTCACATCCCAAGCTACTCATTAGCCCCCCTGTGCAAACAGAATCAAAACTCCCTGAAATTTGGTTCCAAAATTGATGGCAGCACCGTTTGCCCCAGCCATGGTGTCTGAGTCTCTCCGGTTTCAAATTCCAGCCTGGATGGGCTTTGTGGCCGGCCAGGCGCTAGATAAGCTGCTGATGAAAGGTGGGGTGGGAAAGGGACGTGGCCGGGGGCGGCGGGGAGGCAGGCCCCTGTAACAAATGGCTTCCTGTAAACACTTCTGTCCCCTCTGGAGAAGCGTCAGATGTGCTGCGAGCTCTGCAGGCACAGGCTGCCCAGCAGCTTGCCTCTACGGGTGCTGCTGCTCTCAGGCCCCTGTCAGTGAGCCGGGCATTCCCCTGGCTTTGGGATTTTTGTTGTTGTCGTCGTTGTCCTGCGTTTGGGTTCTGTGTATTTCCTCAAGGTGCTCAGACAGAAAACGGTTTTCAATCTGAGAATGTCCAAAATGATCTGGTAAATAAACTTAACCTGACTTGATCTGGGGTGACTCGTGTGTGTGTGTGCTTTGCGTCACTCTTCCCAGCGTGGTTCTGCTGAGCACACTTCTCTTCGTCCTCGTTGTAGGTGCAGCTCTGCCAGCTGCTTTCGGGTCGGCTGCTGCGAAGGCAGGTGCCCTGGGTGGTGCTTGCTCATGGGGTGACCACCTCGCTGCTCCCTGACTGCCACCTCAACCCAACCCACGTGCCGTGGTTTGGCACTCTTCCTCTTCAATCCCTCTTCAATAAGAAGTTCTGTGAGATCCCCCTTACAGAGATGCTTATAACGGTATACTCAGGGGTCCTAAATAAAGGAGCCAGAACACATTACCTGTGGGTTGGTTTTTTAATTATTTACTGCTCGGCATGTAGACGTCAGGTGTTCTGCCCTTGAAATTAAACTTGCCATGTGGCTGCTGGCGCTGCTGTGCCTTCTCTCCAGTGGCTCGTTTCGTTAAGCACAAATCCACACCCACACGTAGCTGTGTTTAAATGGACACAGTGGGAAACTTTGTAATTGTGTTTGTGTTTTATAGCTAACTGTAAATTCCGAGCTGAGCACAATACTCGCTGGAAGAAAGGAAAAAAAAAAAAAAAGCACATGCCTGCGTGTTCTGGTCGCTCACCTCCAAGTAGTTTGGTGCCATGATGCTGGTCTTCAGGAGAAGTAACTACTCATATTTTTACCCCTCTTCTGTCTCTCCCCACTGTTATGAATCGGATTGGAGTTTTCCAACCTGCTCTGGAAGTACCCTACGTAGAGTTTTGCTTGAATATGTATTTGAAGATGCTGATTGCAGCAGTCTCATCACCAGCGCTGTGACTGATCCCAGAGCCCTGCGTTTGGGCAAGTGGAAGTGTGGGAGTTACTCAGCTCTGGAGTGCAAAGAAGTGCACTAGGAAATGATCTCTGGACACTTAGCTGTAGCCCGGGAAGGGATGGGCTGTCTGAGCAAATTGGTTATGAAAGAAAGGATGAGCTTCAGCCCCTAATGCTCTTCTGTAGCGAGGAAGGTCCTTGCAATAGATGCCCTTCAAGTAACACTTCTGGGTCCTGGGTTTCTCACAAGTCCGGAGCCAAATGGCGAGTAAGTCTGTGCAGTGGTGGTTATCACCGTGCTCTCCAGAGGAGGAGGAATTGGGCTTCTGCCCTAACAGCTGGGCAACCTGAGAGGGCACACGACCTTCTCCTGACTGAGCCCAGAAGAGCAGAGTTCCCTCACGCAGGAGAGTGGGAGGAGAAGCAGCAGCGTATTTAAGGGCTGTCTCATCCTCCCTGACAAAAAGAAGAAAGTATCTATTTGCAGAGTCCCACAGCTTGCACCAGCACTAGCTGTTCAGGGATGTCTCAGGCATCCCGCTGTTCAGTTACTCTTGTGCAATTTTGCCTGCTGTCCTGTGATGTCCAGGGTGCCAGACCAAACCTATTTGTAATTTCTGTCCTTTTGTTTTCTAGGCATCAACTAAAAGTGCGCACAGGAACGTTTTGTGTTCTGCACTGCAGAAGTTTTCCAAGGCACCACGTGCCTGCCTTCCTCCGTCTTTGTCAAGCCTTATCTCGGGCTTTTAGTGAACAGCCTGCAGTTCTCCGAAAGCTGCAAGTACAAGCTCTTAAACTGTTTTGTGGGATCAGGGCGTGTTAAGTGCATGCCTGTGAAAGGCATCTTGGTTCTATTAATGCCTTTCCAAATGGAGATGTGCTTAGATCAATATTTATAGTGATGCAAAGAAGAATTTGGACAACTGCCGTAAATGTTTCCTTTGGCTCTCCTGTGCTGGTATTATCTAGGTAATTATCTAGGTTTGTTCGTGGCTGGGTCCCGGGAGGTTCTCCTGGAATGACCCTTTGACCACCTGTGCAACAGGGTGGAGGTGTCTATGAAAACAAATTCAATGGGGAAATCAAAATGTCTTGGAGGACGAGAGCAGGTAGCAGGCTTGAGACCCTTTTGTTAGCTTTAAGATCACTGTAAGGAGGAGGAAGATTTCTGTCTGAGGTTGCAGAAGCCCAATTAAAGCTGTTCAGAGACAACCCGTCTCGCTTCTGAATCCTTTAAATTAGCAGATGGCAGATGATGGACCTGCAGGTGAACTGGAGAAGTCTGTTCCCGGGATGTTGGTGTTCTCATTCATCTGTCAAGGACAGGAAATCCATACACTGGTGCCTCTCGTCCTTGCAGATCACGTCAGTAACAACATAATCCAGAGTGTACGAGCGAAATGACAGCAGAGGAGGATAAGATTACTCAGTTGTGCTATTTAAATCTTCTTTCCTTATAACGTAGGGAGCAAAGTACTGGGAATTTGGGTTGGCTTGATTTCTCTGAGCTCTTGGATTCCAGCACAAACCCAGAGAAATCTTACACCTGGAGACCTAAAGCCTCACTTTTTTCCCCGGTTTGTCAGGTGGGACTAATTTCTAAAAACTCCCCCATCTTCCCTGGAGTACCTGGCAGAGAAAAGTAACACTGGGCTGACTGAAGCTGCACTTACCTGCAGTGAATGCCAAAGCTGACAAACCAGTGGGGTAATAGCTCTCCCTGCTATGTACTTGGAAGGGCGGGAGCATCAGAGGCAGTTTTGTCAGAGCTGGCTCCATTCACCTCTTCCCCTTCAGCCTCCTTGCCCTCTGCTCTAACTGTTGCATCCTCCTGAGATTATTAACGTGTTGTTCCTTGCAACCAGAGGCAGCTTCATCCCAGGACTGCTCACTACAAGCAGAGCAGAGAGCAGCAGACAGCCACGGCTGGCTCCTGCTGCCCAAGTGCACCATCACGGGCTTGTACCAACCTTGTGCAAGCAGGAGCCGTGTCTGTGTCAGTGCACACCTCCAAAGCATCAGGTGAGTGTGTGTGCAGGGCTGGGAGGGGTTCTCCTGGCTGGGGAGGGCTTTTAGCTGCTTATTATGGTTTCTGTGTGCATCTGTGATGCTGTTGTGGGCTCCTGGAGCTTCTGGGTCCCATTTAAAAGCGGGATCTTGTCTCTGTGTGCTCAGGTAGCATCAGGGCTGGCACCCCCGAGGCAATGAGCAGGGCACTGGGGGGAACGTGGAGCCTCTGTGCCAGCAGCTGGATGCCACCCTGGTTCTGAGGGAATCTGGCCTTGGCTCCCAAATGAGGACATCCAGGTCCCTTCATACGTCTGCTTCTGCTGGGTTGTGCCACTTGCTTTGGCTCTGTGTTGCTGTCAGCTGGACGAGGATATTTGCCTGCCTTCTGCGACTTCACCGATCATGTTTTCTCAGGTGCCTCCATCCTTTACCCAGGAAGGGAGGCGGGGATTTGTTTGAGGGGCGTTATCATAGAACAAGGACTTGGTTTGCCAGGCTTGCTCTTTTCTCTCTACTTCCACAGTTTCACCTCAAGTTACCCATTCATTCTTGAAATCACAGGGCCAGATTCCTCCCTCTTCTTTCCCCAGCCCGTTTTCTTTGCTTCTGCCTTTGTGGGAGCTTGTCTCAACACCCAGAAAAGGAGCCAATGTTTTCTGTGCTAACAAAGTGAGCATTGTTATGCAGTTGCAGAGTGGGTGGATGTGACTGCTGACAGACTATTCCTTCTGCTAGGGTGTGGATTAAAGCTCAAGGTGACTTTGTTCCTGCATAAATTCACTAACTTCCCCTAGGGAACTGGAGGGGCAGGGCCGGGAGGGGAGAAGTATGATAAATGAAAGTGTCGGAAGGAAATGCACTTACATAGCACGCACTGCCAAAGCATAAATGCGTGCTCTGTAAGGAGCTTTCGACATAGCTTAAGGTAGCACTCCATGGATTAAAAAGAAATAAAATTATAAAAAAAAAACAAACAGCCTATGTTTAGCTGACAACTTGCTCTGCAGGCTGCTGTCCCGGTGTAATTGCCTGGGTAAGTGGATTAGCGAGCAGCAGCGTGGCTTGTTCAGGGTTAGGCATGCTTCGAGGGGCAGCCTGTGCTACAAGGAACAGCTCTGCTGCCTGCCAGCCGAGCCTGCTCGCCGCTGAAGACGGAGGCAGACTGTCGGGTTGTCATCGTGTGCGCTCCCTGCGAAGGGTCCCATGGAAACAGTTCCTTTCAGAGCTATCGCTTGTCCTTATCTGCGGCAAGGTGGGTATGGTGACAGCAAATCACATCTTGGGACACTTCTTTGCCTTTGTTGCCATGGGAATCTGCCTTCTGCAGCTTTGTCTTCAGTGAAAAAAGAGAAGAGTCGTTACCTTCCCTTGCTCACCCCCCCAAATGTGCTGAGGTCAAGGGGGTGGTCAGCCACGTAGCATGTGGAACAAAATGTTTGTGTTGAGGACAGGGCTGTGAGGCCTTTTGTCTTAGAATCTCACCACAGCACGCACATCCCTCCGTGGTAGTTACCGCGTCTGTCTCACGGAGCGGCGATGCAAAGCACAAAGCAGCGAGGCGAGTTGGCCCAGGTAAGACGTGCTGGGGGTGTCAGGCGCCGCGTATCTCACCGTGCCAGAGAAACAAGGCCGGGACCTGCCCCTGCATCGACGTTACGGCACAGGTGGAAGAATCCGGGTCACGCAGGAGGAGCCTGACACACCAAAGTGTGATGTCTGCCTGAAGGCCTGGCACGACCCACGGGTTTGGGTGCCAGTGTGGGAGCACCCAGGTGTGGTTCCCTGCCTCCACAAGAGAGGGCGGCTGCGGTGGTGCCAGAGGCCCCACAGGCTGCTGGCAAGGCAGGGATGCGGGAGCCATGTGGCCATAACCAGGAGGCGGCAGCACCGCCGAGCCTTTGAAGGGGCGCAAAGTGATGCTGGGAAGCAGGATCCTGACCCGGCCATCTGGCCAAGTCAGCGCTGTGCTTCTCCGGTGCCACAGTTCATGATCAAGCCCTGTCAAATCTGGTACAGAGAGAATGGAAACTGCATGTACAAAGCGAGCTTCATTTCTTGTGGGAAATAGTTCAGTCACTGGAATTTTCCACCTTGTAAAGGGAACCACGTCGCTCACTCAGGAGGTACTCTGAGGTGATGATAACAAGAAATCAGCGCATTTCAGAGAGCTCCTCTCAGTTGCTGGGTATGTTTTGTTCCTTCCCAGCCTTTGCTCGCATCATTTCTTCAGATCATAGCTGATCTTTGCTTTTGTTACGAGTTTTGAGCGGATTCCGATACCAAACTCAAAGATACTTATCTGCACAGGACTCCTACGAAATAAAGAAGTTGTGTCATTTCCATTGTATGAATGAGGAACTGAGTCATAGGAGCCCAAATGACACATCTGAGGTTACTCAAGGAGGCTGAGCGCTGCTGGGAACTGAATCTGGGTGTTCCTGTCCCCGGCGGAGATCTCGCCCACTGCGTGCTGCAGCGTTTTCATGTGGGGCATCGCTGCGCCCTGCCTCTGGCCTTTGATCTCAGCCTGGGCCCTTGGACTCTGAAACGAGTAATAAACGCAATAAACCTCTTTCAAGAGGAAAGAGTGATTTATCTGGAGCCCTAAACTTTTGGCACTGGAAGAAAAAGCAGAATTTGAACTGGTCAATGTAAATAACACTACAATTACAATCAAGTGCTTTTGCTTAGACTTTGGTGTTTGTGGTGTCACGTCCTCCTGGGGAAGTGGGTATTATGCCTCCAGCTGGCAGAAAAGTTCACATTTGTGCCTAAGCTGATGCAGGTTTTGTTGCTAAAAATACTGCACTATTTCAAACTGCGCTGCTATAAGCTATGCAAAGAGTCATCGTCTTGATGTTGTTCAAATTAACAGTGACTAAATGCAAAAATAGAAATGAGAAACACACAATTCTGGAGCAGCGGGAAAAAAAGATGCAGCAGTTTAACCTGGGATAGGAAAAAACACACAATTCTCTCTCAAAATGTGTGCAAGTGCTGTGTTTTTAAACATAAAAATACCTATATAACGAGCCGGTTTGAGTAATTCAGAAATGACAATTCAGTACTGAAGGAAGTTTCACTTTCTTGCCTCATAGCTGTGTGTTTGTTTACCTTTTTGCATATGTATGAGTTTATATATAATGTGAACGAGTGCATGAAATGCTCACGCTGTTTCAGTTTGAGCAGTCTTTCCATATTCCCCCCGTCTGTAACTACTGTTGTTTACTCTTCAAGGATGTTCACCACAAAACCCACTTTAACTCGTGCGCTGCTAATTTTACAGGCAGGGTTTCAGTTCCAGCTCGAAGCAGCCTCATTGTCCTGGAGCTCTGCCCATGAATGGGCCTTCCTGCAGTTGCCAAGAATACTGAAATGAAACGACTGGGTAAAAACAATGCGTGGCGGAGCGCAGGCAATTAATGAATCAACGCGAGGCACTGTCGGTGGAATACGCTGAGCATATTGGTCTGGCCGCCTCTGCATCAGCGCCGAGTTCTTAGAAATGTCCCACTCGAGGCGGAAGATACAGTCACCCGGCTGCTTATGGAGAAATGGGACGGCTTCAGTGCTCCGTGAATAACACGAGTCATGTCTGCCGCTCTCTGCTTACTCACCCTTGAAAGAAGCCAGTATGGAAGCAGCAGAAAGCGACTCAGGCTCGCAAACAAAGTGGCTCGGGCTGCGGCGTGGTAGGAGTGAGTCACGTTTCGCTCCGCACTCCTGGTTTTGCTCAGCAGCCTCTGCAGCATCCCGGCCTTTATCTGCCGCCCCACAGGACGGGGGAGAGGCCAGTGCTGTGCATGTGGGGGGCTGAGGGGCTGCCCAAAACCCTCCCGGGTGCTCGGAGGGGGAGAGCTGAGCCCCAGAGCTGCCCCCATGCTGGTGGGCTTGTGACTGCCCCTGGCTGGGGCTTGCACGGGGACCTGCTGCGGGGCTGGTGCTTGCAGCAGGCTGAAGTCAGGGGGGTTAGGAGCCCACAGGCACAAAGCAGTTGTTCACTTGGACATCTGCAAAGTGTTTGAGGCTGTTTCCTTCAGCCTTCTCCCAGAGAAAGTGGCTGCTGGTGGTGCAGTCCTTGTGAGAGGACTCAGATCCAGTCGGTGGCCGGTCACAAGTGGTGCTCCTGGGGGCTCAGTCTTGGGGACAATTACAATATTTTTTACTGACATCTTAATGAGGGGAGGGAGTGCACCCTCAGTAATTTGGAGATGACACTGAGGTGGGTGGATGCATGGATCTACCTGAGGGTAGGAGAGGTCTGTATGGGACGGGTCAAGGGGCCACATCCAACTGTGCCTTCAACAAGGCCAAGTGCCAGGTGCTGCCCCTGTAACAACCCGAAGCAGCAGTACAGGCTTTGGGTTGTATATAAAAGGGTTGTTAGAAAGCTGCCCTGCCACAAGGAGCTGGGGGTGTTGGTCAACAGCTACCTGAACACGAGCCAGCAGTGTGCTCAGGTGGCCGGGAAGGCCAGTGGTGTCCTGGCCTGCATCGGCTGTAGCATGGCCAGCAGGACGAGGGAGGTGACTGTCCCTCTGTGCTTGGCATGGAGGGATTGCACCTCAGGTATTGCCTTCAGCTTTGGGCCCCTCACCACAAGAAGGGCGTTGGGTTGCTTGAGCATGTGCAGAGAACAGCAACAAAGCTGGTGAAGGGACTAGAAAATGAGTTGTGAGGGGTGGCTGAGGGATCGAGGGCTGTTTAGTCTGGAGAAGATGAAAGGCCTGAGGGGAGGCCCCATTGCTCTCTCCAACTACCTGAAAGGAGGCTGCAGCAAGGAGGTGTCGGTCTCTTTTCTCAGGTGAGAAGTGACAGGATGTGAGGGAACAGTCTCAAGCTGCACCAGAGGAGGTTTAGGTGGGAAGTTAGGAAGAATTTCCTCACAGAAGGGGGTGGTCAAACACTGGAACGGGCTGCTAAGAAGTAGTGGAGTCCCCATGCCTGGAGGTATTTAAGAGAGATGGACGTGGCACTAAGGGGCACGGTTTGATGGTGGACTTTGTAGTGTTAGGTTTATCTTGATGCTAGGCTGGACATGATGGTCTTAAGTTTTTTTTGTTTTTTTTTTCCTATCTAACTGATTCTGATTTGGATTTTGTGAAGTTGCAAGGCTCAGTCTTGAGCAAGCCCCTCTCTTGGAAGCAGGGGGGCTGCAGATACTGCTCTAGGAATTAACACAGAATATTTTACCCATTAAAACTCTGGGCAAACATTAACTAATCCTCTCAACCCCCTCCTGGGGTAGGTAAATACCGTCTCGCAGGTGCAGAAACAGAGGAGGAGGAAAAGCAACGTGACTTGCCTAAAGCCACAGAGGGAACCAGGTGGGGATAAAAACAGGGGAGGTGTTTTATGGCCTGTGCCTGTGCTCGCCGCCCCCCAGACAGCATTGTTTTACGTGCACTCGGTGCTGCTGTCCCCTTGGTGCTTCGAGGAGCCAAGCAGGCTCCCAGGGGCCAAGCAGAAAGCCTCCCACTTTGAAGTCGGTGAGGTCTGGGCTTCAAGGCGGGATCGCATGCCATGAAAAGCTTGTCCCGTCCAGGCTGGGGGTGCCTCTCAGGGGGCTTAGCCCCCGCTGCCCTGCCTTCAGGCGGGTGATAAATGTTGTCTGCAGCGCTGGACTTGTTTACCTTTGGGATTTACACCACAGATAGGGCGGCGGGGCGGCCCTGCGCCTGCAGACCTGTGTCTCGACAGCCTGGGGCTGCTGCCCTCCGCTCCTGGGGGCCCTATGCTGCCTTTCCTGGAGCAGCAGGGTGGCAGAGCCAGTGTCTGGCACCCCAGGACTCTCGCCTTCCTCCTTGGTGGCTAGCATTTCAAGCACCTTTGTAGCCAGGAATTTCTCTCGCCATGCCTAATCACTCCGTGCTAACCTCTCCCTGCTCCACAGCCCGGCAGCTTGTCTCAGGGCTCGTCTTCTCGCCTCTGCCCTGGCTGAGGCAGAGCCCAGGCCATCAGATAAAATGCAAAGGGAAGGTTTGTGTGCCCAGCCGCTCTCACGCCGCGGGGCCAGCCCTGCCCAGAGATAAAGGTTGCTCCCGCGCCTCCGAGGCGACGTCGGGAGGCTTCTGTCTGCGGCACGTTGTGCCCAGCATCTTTTAATTAGAGCCACATGCTTTGTTATTCAGCAGAATATGCTTTCCTGGCCATTTGTTAGGAACTTGCATCCAAGAGTGCTGCAGACTGCGAGCCCTAAATTAAGCTGTACGAAGCATATTGAGCACCTCCAAAAAGGGGTGGCGAGGGGCAGGGGCTATTGTCCTCTGCCCGCATTGTGGGCAGCTCCTTCCTGAGTTGGTCCTTTCACTTGTTGGCCAGCTCGTCGGCGCCGCGGTTTGTTTCTGCCTCCATCTGTTCCAACTCCAGTTTATTCAGGGCTCTGTAGGTATTGTACGCTGTGCTGCTTGCTTTTTTTGTTGTTGTTGTTGTTGCGGATGGGAGAGGCTCCCCTTTTCATGCTTCACCTATTCATTTTGTAGATCTCCAGCTTCCTCGTCAAGTTTTCTCTTTTGTCGTATTAATTGGCCTTAAGTCTACAGTCAGGTGCTGTGCGTGTGCTTCCCGTGTACACCTTCACCATCTGCTGCCTTTCATCTCCATGGCGCCCAGGCCAAATTCCAGCTCTGGCAGTGACATCCTGCTCCCTGCTCTCCTGCAGCTCTAATTGCCTTCAGCCCCGGCCCGTCCTCACCTCTGCTCGTGGCTGGGAGAGGGGCGAGGTGCCCGCTGCCCCCGCTGCGAGGAGAAGGCAGGGCTGGAGGGAACCTCTGCTCCGAAAGGAGGTGCAGTCTCCAGCACTAAAAGCAGTTTATGACTTGTGTCTGTCTGTCCTGTCCAAACACAAGCTGTCTGTAGTTCCTGGAGGAGGGCAGAGTGAGTGCTGATGATGTTTACCTCCGTCTCTGAGTCTTGATTGGGATAAAACCCAATTTGGTGATCCCAGAGCGTGTGTGAAGCTCCATGAGTTTCAGTGGGGTTTTTGTGTTCAATTCACCTTCTTCTTTACTTGCCCTACAGTCCTGCGTGCAGGTTATGGCATGGGTTGGGACTCTCACATGCTCTTAAACATATATAAAAACATGTATAAAACGAGCTACCTGTGTCTCTTGGGTACCATGGTAGGGGAAGACCATTTATTTATTTATTTATCTATCTATCTATCTATCTATTTATTTATTTTAGCGATGAATAGAGCAGTGCAGCTAGCAATAAAACTGTTGGTGAATAGCTGTGTAAGCCCCAATCCAGCATACACCCTAGGAACATATATATAATTTGTCTTTTGTGCCTAAAGGTCTCTGTGAAGGCGGTGGCCTGCTCAGCAAGGTGTGAAGCGTGCATGTGCTCGTGTAGAAAGGATCTGCCCTGGAGGATCTGGAGCTCAAGGAGCTGAGAGAGGTGGACAAGGGCAGTGGGAAGGAAGGGCTGTGGGTCCCATGCCCCTGAGCAGGCTGATTGCAGGAGAGATTTTTTTTTTCTTTAGTAGAATCTGGAAGCACAGAGATGTAGGGAGGTGGTTTTCCTGCTGAGCTCCTTGCTGGGACCCTTTGTAGCACCTTGGTGCACCCCTAAGTGTCCTGGGGAGCTCACTGGAAGTGCCAGACATGGGTGTCCAGCACAAAGTTCCCGAGGTCTTCTATTTGTGACAGCATCCTCTGCTTGCTACAAGGTAAGGCCTCTAGATCAGCAGTGTGTTGGATCAGATTTAATGGCTTGAACTGCACGGGTTTGTTTACAGGGAAGCAAGCTGGTGCTGTGCTTGTGTCCCTGTCCCCTGCCGTAGCTGCAATTCCTGTAACAACGGAACAGGTTGTGGCTGTGGTGAATGTGCTGCTGCTCACGGTCCTGCGAGGCAGAGAGAAGTGAGATTCTTGCTTTCCTGTAGATGTGCGGCACAGAAGAAATAAGCTTCCTGCTCAGCACCACAGAAGAAAGCATCGTCGTGACGTTAACATCAATCCTGGTGAGCAGCCTGCCCCTTGGGAGGGCTTGGGGTAGGGAGCAGAGACCCCCTGGATGAGCACTCAGTCCGTGCCCCTTCTCCTGCCCATTTTCTCATTCCCGTGGGTCAGATCAGCTCTCTCCCTCTGCCACAGCTCATCCCAGATTTACGGGAGCCATAAACCGCAAAGCAGAGAGAAATAAAAATACTAAACACTTAGGTTTTTAAAAGGCCAACAGTGCACTGAAGCCTTGGCGATAATTTGCTCGTAAAGAAATATAATGCCTGAAATCACAATGCCGGGCTGCGGACAGAGGCTGGGGTCTGCTGCGAGTTGCTCCTGCTCAGGCTGTAGAAGGACAGCAATGTGGTGAGAAACCCCACAGAGCATGTGGGGATTAGGTTTAGTAAGTTGGCTGTCATCGCACCGAGCCGGGAGGTCACCTGGAGGCACTTTGGTGGCCTCCAGGGGCTTGTCCTCTGCTGGGCGCTGGTGAGAAGCAGGGAGGGTAAAGATCCACCAGCAGCAGTCAGATCAGCGGGGTTACAGGCTGCGTGCAGGTGCCCAAACAGTCGGGCTGAGTGACATTTCCCTCAGGTCTTGCATGCTTCAGCACCGGCAGCCCGGCCAGGCCCAGCTTGGGTAGCAGCTGCTGGGGGTAAGGTGGCTGCTCAGAACTTCACCCCCTGTGTCAAGTTGCTTTTTATTAAAAAAAGAGAGAGCCTTGCTTTCTGAGACGTACACCTGAATACTGGTGAGGTAGGGCCGCTTAGAGAGACATGGGAACTGCCCAGCGTGCAGCTCTGCACCAGCTGCAGCCTCACCAGTGCTGAATTATCACCTCCCGTTGGCCACGCTGCCCCTAAAGTTGCCTGCCGTGCTGTTTGTGTGGTTTGCAAGGAAAGCATACTGCTAACTCCTGTGTTTGGCACCACTGTGCCCCCCAGGTCCTGTTCAGCTGGGCAGCTGCTGGGCCAGCCTGTCCCAAGCCCGCACAATTCCTTCCAGGTAAGGAGCTTTGCACTCCCCTCCCTGCACTTTGGGAGGCCAAGTTCCTTGGGGTGGTTCTCAGTTCCCCCATTTGCCGAGCACATGCTCTGTCTCGTGTCACGTTTAAAGGGTTTTTATCACTCCTTGAGCTGCCGCGTTCAGGCTGGCTCTATCTGGAAGGCTTGCAGGAGGTCTCAGCAGAGCCGCAGTAACTATAACCAGGGGGCAGGGCACTGCACTCCAGCAAGGGCTTTACGAGTTAAAATAAGAAGGTGTTAGCAAAAACAAATGCGAAGCTGAAGCAGCCTGGCTGGAGAAGGAACCAGGAGCATTTAGTTCCTCCACTGAAGCCACCACTTGGACAATTCCCCGGTGCTGGGGTGGTCCTGGCCAGGAGCTGCCCCTGCCCTCCTCCCGCAAGCAGGAGGGCTTCAGGCACTCTTCGTTAGCCACAGAGGAGCAAAGGCAAGTGGCCAGTTGATCTCCCCTGGGAAAAATCACCTTCACCTTCTAAATTAATCCAGCCAAAAGCGCATTCCCTCCTCTCCAGCCCTTCAAAGCCCTCCCTTCCAGGAGAGAGAGCTCGGAGGCTGTTTCTTCTTTGGTTAGAACATTCTCTGTGGTTCGTTCTCTTGGAGAAATCAAAACTTTCAAAGCCTCTGGCTGCCGCCACCTTTTCATTAGTGCTTCCTGATCTGTTTCACAGCATCCTCTCTGCCTGGTTCCCAGTGACTGAGTTCCCCTTTGCGGTAAAGCCCTTCTCCCTCCCTACCGCAGCGTGGCTGAGCAGCACGGCCTTTGTCAGTACATCTCTGCAGGGAAAACAAATTACCGTAATGGCCCAAACGCTCCGTTTCTTCTGGTAAGTGGCTGTGGAAGCAGAGCTCAGTTCCCTTCCCTGGATTGTATTTGCACAGGGAAGTGGGCAAGGGCAGCGTCTAGTGGCTCGGGTGCACGGCGGGGCACTCGGGGCAGTGGGTAGGGGCTGCTCTCTTTGCATGTCTCTCTTCTTCCTAGAAAGCCCGCGAGGTGAGCTTTGCAGGTCGGCTGTTCCAGAAGAGCAACCACCACGTGCTGACCTTTGCTCGTGTGAGTGCCAGCGTTAATGAGTTACCTGCTGACCCCAGAGCCCTCCAGGAACCATGTCAGCCTCCGCAGAGACCCCAGCTTGCCCACGGGTGGCTCCTTGTTACGCTCCAGCCTGCCCGTGCCCACCCCACAAACTCAGCCCCTTGGCCCCAGAGCTGCTGTTTGCAGCTCGGACATGAGCAGGAGCCTCCTGGCCCCTGAGCTCAGCGCTGTGAGGTCTGCTGAAGCTTCTCGGCCAGCTGCAAAGCCTAAAGGAAGGAGGTGATGCTGTTTAGGCATCGTGGTTTTTAGTCCTTCGTTGTTTTTTTTTTTTTTTTAATTTTGTATTTTTTTAAATAGGGATTTTACAGTTGTTTCTGTAGCTTTGTATCTGAACGAGGCGAAAAATAACTTCATAATTTCTTTTAAATATACCTGATAGAATGACAAGTAGGAAGAGAAGCTGAACTTCGGATCGAGCCTTCCTCTTTAACGTGCAGCCAGAAAACGCCAGAAGCTGCTTGTCCCAGAACAAAGCCGAGAGGTGGCCTCTGCTTGCTGCATGCACCTGCCTCCTCGCCCCGGTCCCCTGCAGGGACCCTTCAGTGTGCCTGTGCCCAAACCCTGCTGCCCGTCCCTGGACCTGCGGGAGGGCAGGGGCGCTGAGAGCCGTGGGGCGCTCATGGGGGCAGCGCGGGGGTCCCTTGGGCACAGCAGGAGCTGGGGACCGAGGGGCTTCCCCTAACAAAGCCCTTTCCATCCGGCTCCCACTATCCCCGTTGTTGGCGCAGTTTGGGATCTGCGCGGCTCGGGAGCACAAAAGAGGCCAAACAATAGGCACGGGGGAGCCTCCTGGCCCTGTCGGTCTGGACAGCTTTGTTCCAGCCTCCTTCCCGGGCAGGCGCTCGCCCCGCTCCTCCGTGTCCTTTGTCCCCAGCTGGAGACGGGCAGGTGAGCGGCGTGCGGGGCAGGTGCTCGATGCACGAGGCTCCTCGGGCGCTGGGACTGTGGATTTGGCTGGGGAGAGCCCTGGTCTGCCCGGTCCTGAGCGCCACTGTGCTGCTCCGGCAGCTCTGGGCTTGATTTTAACCAGCAGCTGCAGGTTCTGCACTTCGATTTTACGACTGGCTGTAATTTTTGAACCAAACAAACAGGCAGCTGGCAGGCAGATATTAGCCTGGCAGAAATCAGCCCCTGTCCCGACAAGGCTGGTTCTGAGAGGGGGTTTGATAAGGCGTGTACGGAAAGGGGGTGTGCGATAACACCGGGGAAGGAAAACACACAGGCTGGAGCGGTGACAAAGAGCTCGGTCGCACGCTCTGCCGTGCAAACGGGATTGTTTGCGCGCTTGTCTGGCTCCCTCTTCCCCGTCCCCCAGCACCAGAGGGGCCGGGCTCCTCGGGGAGCTGCTGGGTCTGGGCAGAGAATGCCCCTGGGGTCTGCGGCAGCAGCAGGGGCTGCATGAGGGGACGTGGCCTCTGGGGCTGGCTTTATGGCTGCACGTGGAGAGCGACAGCTGAGCTCCTCTGGCTGCTTTCCCTTCCATCCTTAACGTGCAGCTCGTCCCATCCTGCACCAGCCGTCTGAAAACACACCTAAATGGCTCTCCAAAACAAAGGTCCTCGTGTGATTGTTTTCCTTTTTATCTTAGCTTTCAAGGAATGGAGGTGAACCGAGAGCAGATAAGGAGTATTTACTCCCCGTGAGCAAACAGCGGAGGGCTGAAATGAAGGATTTTCTCCAGCAACAGCACTCCCCGCTCGTCACGCTGCACCTCTGAGTTTCCAGTAAGCGTACCTGAGCTACAAGGCAAACAAATCGAGAGCCGTCAAGGTGTATTTACCCTCCTGCTGCTCCTGCCACGGCGCTGGTGCAGGCTGGTGGCACGGGGATGGGCACAGCCACCCGCACACCGGGCCAGGCCCTCGGGATGCACCCAGCACCTCCGGGATGAGCCCGTCCTCAGGCCCATTGCAGCTCTCTCCCGTCCCTTCTGGTACTGGGACTTAGGTGATGATGGTGTTTTGGTAAAGTTGCCTTTTAGACTTCTGCCACGCAGTATGTAGCTTTCCTGAGCCATCAAGAAAATGCTGAGAAATCAGACTGAGGAGGTTTTGCCTTTCTTTCCCCACTCGGTGCTCCCCCACCCCTTATCTCCAGACGGCTGCTCTGCCCCAGCCGCTCTGTAAACTTGTCCGGGTTTCCAGCGCTCCCCGCATAAACCGCAACTGGGTGCTTTTTGCGCCGATTAAGATCACGCTGTGTGAAAGCAAACACAAATTAGCTGTGGTCTTTGGGCCCCTGACACGTCTCCAGAGTCGCTGCCGGCGCCACAGCGCTCGTGCAACCCCGCAGCCTCTGTGCGGTGACGTCCCTGCGCCGGCACTGTGCGGGGCTGCTCCCAGCTCAGCTGCTAATGCTCCCACCAGCTTTTACCACCAAAGTGGGAAGGGAGCTTTTCAGCAGCCGGATGAACAGCAGGGACTTGCTTTTTCTCACTAGGCTACAATGTCAGATGTGGGAAGGGGAAGGAGGGGGAGGATTTCCTGGGTAATTCCCCAAATCTTGATGTGTGTGCAAATGCCTCCCAGTCTGCTGCGTGCTACCCCTGTGAGCCCAGTGCAGGGGGAGACCGTGTCCCTGTTCAGGATTAACTCCTGCAGGAAAAGAGCCCATAAACTTCTTGTACAAACCAAGCCTGAAGTTTGCCACTTCTCTTATGCAGGGAAGCACGGGACACTTTCCTGCCTGCTTGGACTCGCGCAGCACACAACGTGTCACACCATTTCAGCACCCCTCGCATAAGCTCTGCGGCGTGTTTACCGTCAGCAGCGGTGTTTCGTTTCAACAGAAACCTTTAAAGTCTTTGCAACTTCCTCCGGGGATGCTAAACTCAGCGCCGCCGCGACCGGGTGGTGAATGGGTTGAAAACGCTGCCGACGGTTTGAGGCGGCGCGTGGGCGCCGCGGGGGCGAATGTTCCCTGCGCCGGGTGTTTTCTAAAGGTCTCCGACGCACGAGGCATGACTGAATGACTTGTGCTTTCTTTGCGTGGTGAGGGGGTGAATCTTGAATTGCTGGGCTGCTTTTATTTTTGTTAGACGTGTGTGGGCTGACGACATGACTCAGTATTTTCTCTGCAGATGCAAAGATCGTCCTGCCAATTCTGGGTAGACTCTGGGCAGTTTCATGCGGAGAACTGGAACGCGTTTTATTCCAGAGCTTTGCTTTTTGGCAGCCTGAAGCCCCTTGATGTGGAAATAAATAATAAGTAAATAAATAAAACAAGAGTGCTCTTGCAAAACGTACAAAAATATACTGAAAAAATGTCCGAGGATGGGGAAACTACCTCTTACCCTTGTGTTTTCCCAACAACTTAACTGATTATTTTCTTGTTACTCTGAAAAAATGCCTGTTAACATCTGACTTCTTTTTCTGCTCCTTCCAGGTCTTGGTTGCTTGTGGGCCATCCCTTTGGCTGCAGTAACGACCCAAACCCTGCTACAATCCTGACTCAGTAACAGCCCATACAGCTGTGAACTATACCCGAGCACTGATTCTAAGCTAATTACAAGCCTTTGGTACAAGCGTGCAGGAGGATGTGCTGCAGTGCCACTGTTTCATCTTCCTATCATCCTAGTTCCTCAGTCCTAAGCCCTGCTTTCCATTCTTGACATTTTCTCCAGCCTGCACTGCCCACCCACGGAAATAACGCACCCCAAATGTTAGCTTAAGTGCAACCATCGTTCCTCTGCACCTAGTGGGAAGCTGCTCGATTTGGTCAGCCAAGTGCCTTCGTGGCCCTGTCCCAGAGTAAAAGAATGGGGTACTCCCCCTTATCCCCTCTGGGCAGTGCTCACATTTTCCAGCAATAATCCAAGACTCTCAGCCCTTCCTATCACACTGCCTGATCCCAGAAAGTTGGGTTTGCCAGGGGCTGCGCTTGGCAGGGCCTGTTCTGGTGGAGAAGACGGGGGGAAGATGTTTGGGGGCTGCTTTGGAAGGTGAAACTGCTTGCTGGAGCTGCTGAGGGAGGGCGAGTAGGCTGCAGGCTGCTCAGGTCTGCTCAGGTGCCAGCACTGTGTCAAGCAAAGCATGTGCTGCTGAAGCACTTTGGTCCTGCTCCTTTGTATACAGTCAAGGTTGGCATTGCCATTTCTGTTTCTAAACTGCATTTTATGAGGCTGTCCGGGTTTCTGGGAGGAATGCTTATTAAAAGAGGTTTTGTAATTCTCTTACAGCGAGTGTGTGGTCTTTTGCTTTTCTGAACTTCTGCTGTGCTCCATTCAAGTGTATTTGTGCTTGGAAAGAAACCTTGGACAGAGAACAGCTGACGGAGAGCAGATCAGACTGGGGGCGAGATGGAGCTGGCTCAAGCTACGTTCCTGCCGCAGATGAGGCAGGTACCCCCCCCCTGCTCAAAGGGTGCCTGCAGCGGCCAGGATCGCTGATACACCCTGCTTGGAGAGAAATCACAACAGCCAAAGGATGTTGTTTGTGGTCGTAGAGAAAGTGCTCGTTAACCGGTGAGCTTTGCTGTGCGTGGCTGAGGCTGCAACTTCCTTCTGTTCACAGAGACCTGGGTTTGTTGCAGTACTCGAGGCTGGTACAGGGAAAGTCCCTGCAGAGGGCTGAGCCCGTCCTGCTTCCTCATTCTTTGCACTCTCTCCACTGGGCAAACCTTTTCTTTGTCACCTGCAAACTTCCTCGTGAAATCGAGCAACGCCAGACCAACCCTGAGCAAAAGGAGGCCTCCTCCCCACAAGTCGCACAGCCTCACCCCCTGCTCTTACGGGAATACCCAGCGGTGTGCTTTACCGAGGCGATTAGAGGGGTTGTCGTTCGCGGAGACCTCACGAAACACAACACATGTGCGTTTTTATGGCCAATTTGGATAAAGTTACCACTGCAGCTGGTGACTGCAGCTCCAAGATAACACCCAGCACGTGACAGCCTAGGAAGCAGCACACCAAGGAGCCAGGAGCTGTGTGTTTTCAGGTTGTGGCGTGGCTACAAGCACCGATGTGTTGTTGCACAACTTTGACGTGAACAGCTGTCTCCCCGTTGTTGTCATGTTGTTATTACTTGTAAATGTTTCTGCAAGAGCTTTCAGGCCCTACCACTAATACGTATTTTCCTTAATGTCCTTTTGGATTAGATTAATAACTCGATGTGCTTTTGGATCAGATTAATAAAGGAAAACAATGTCTGTTGTAAGAGCATGTCCCGGTACATATTATACCCTCAGGAAGTTTGCAGATGACAGCAAGCTGGGGGGAAGTGTTCATTTGCCGGAGGGCAGGAAGGCCCTGCAGAGGGACCTGGACAGGCTGGGTCGATGGGCAGAGGCCAGTGGGGTGAGGTTTAGCATGGCTGAGTGCTGGGTCCTGTGCTTTGGCCACAACAGCCCCATGCAGTGCTACAGGCTTGGGGCAAAGTGGCTGGAAAGCTGTGCAGAGGGAAGGATCTGGGGGTGCTGGCTGATGGACATGAGCCGGCAGTGTGCCCAGGTGGCCAAGAAGGCCAACGGCATGCTGGCTGGGATCAGGAGCAGGGAGGTGATCGTCCCCCTGTACTTGGCTCTGGTGAGGCTGCACCTCGAGTGCTGTGATCAGCTTTGGGCCCCTCACTACAAGGAGGACATCGAGGCTCTGGAGCGTGTCCAGAGAAGGGCTACGGAGCTGGTGCAGGGCCTGGAGCACAAGTCCTGTGAGGAGCGGCTGAGGGAGCTGGGGGCGTTTGGTCTGGAGAAGGCTCAGGGCAGACCTCATTGCTCTGTAGGGCTGCCTGACAGGAAGCTGTGGGGGGCTGGGGGTCGGCCTCTGCTCACAGGTAACCAGTGACAGGGCTGAGGGAATGGCCTCAGGTTGTGCCTGGGGAGGTTCAGGCTGGCCATGAGGCGATTTCTCCTCAGGAAGAGCAGCCAGGCACTGGGACGGGGTGCCCAGGGAGGCAGTGGGGTCACCGTCCCTGGGGGTGTTTAGGGAGAGGTGGGGCGTGGTGCTTGGGGACACGCTCAGTGGTGACAATGGCGGCGGGGGGCGGTTGGACGCCCCCTTCCCTTCCCCTCGCCACACGGACGCTGCGGGGACCTCGACGCCCGCGGCCGGCACTGCGCCTGCGCGGGAGCCCGGCCGCCCGCTCGGGCCTTCGGGCGGCTTCGGCACCGCTCGGCCCCTTCCGCCGCGGTTACGTAAGGGGGGGGCGGTGCGCGCGGCGCGCTCTTTCTCTCCGTGTCCTCGCGGCACCCCGCCCCGCCCCCTCGGCCCGGGGAGGGGAGGGGAGGGGAGGGGGGGGCGCGCACGTGCCCCGGAGGGCGGGGCGCGGGGCGGCACGCGCAGCTCCCCCCCCCCCCTCACAGCGCACATTCGGTTCCGTCCGCTCTGCTGTGGGGGGGGGGGGGGGGGAGAGGCGCGCATGCGCAGTGCGGCGACCGCCTCCGAGGGGAGGGGGCGAGGAGGAGGAGGAGGAGGAGGGCGGGGAGGGGAGGGGAGGGGAGGGCAGGGGAGGGGCGGGGGGCGCGGGGCGGGGCGGGGCGGCGGAGCCCCAGTCCGGGAGTTCTTTAAAGATGGCCGGAGCGGCGGTGGGGGCCGCTGCCACCGCCAGCGCCACCCCCGTGTACTGCGTGTGCCGGGAGCCCTACGACGTGAGCCGCTTCATGATCGAGTGCGACATCTGCAAGGACTGGTTCCACGGCAGGTAGGGCGGGGGGGCAGGGGGACGGACAGGGGGACAGAGGGGACAGACGGGCGGACGGACAGACGGACAGCCCTGCCGCGCCGTCCCCGTGTGCCCCCGCTGCCGGACAATGGCCGGGGCTCGGCTGCGTTTGACGTGCGGGAGGAGGAGGAGGAGGAGGAGGAGGAGGAGGAGGAGGGGGGGGGGGGAGGAAGGTGCTGGTGCTGGTGATGCCGAAGGGGCGCCGGGGAACAAAGGCAGCGAGCGGGGGGCGCCCGGCCCCGCGTGTCCGCCCCCGTCCCGCGGGGCGCGGCGCGGCGCTGCCCGGGCCCGTGGCGCTGCCCCCCCCCCCGCACCGCCCCCTGCCGGCACCGGGCGGCTCGGGTCGGAGCGGGGGTGGTGGGGGGGTGCTGGGGATGGGGCCTTTGTGTGCGGGGAGCGATGGAAACAGAGCCGCACCGGCTGGGAAAATAAAAATAAAAACAGCAACAAAACGCAGAAACAACAAGGGCAGCGCGGCCGCCGTGCCGCCCCCAAACAGCTCCTCATTAACATTTTTAATGAGGGGGCTGCTGGGGCTGGGGCTGCTGCTGGGCTGGCCGGGGCTGTTGTTCGCAGCGCCCGCTCCGCCTCACGGGGCTTGGCGTGAGTTTGTCAGAAGTTGGGGTGGCTGCTGCTGGGGCAGGGATGGGGCAGCGTCCCGACGGCCTTGTGGGGTCGCGGGGTGTCCTGGCAAAGCTTTCCCCACACGTGTGTCAGTCTGCGAGGCTGCGCTGGGGATCGCTCGCTTTGCACACCAGCTTAATGGGAACACCAGCCCTGTGCCCTGACACCGCTGCGGTACGGGCGAGCTGCTTCCCAAGTGGTTACGAGGAGGAAAGGCTTGTTTTGCCCAGCCTCATGTCAGCCCGCTGGCTCCGCAGCCCTTTAAAGTCTGGATCATCTGCCTGGAGATCCACAGCATCTCCGGCGCTGAGCTCTCTGTCATGCGGCTGGCAGAGCGCTGCTCGCTCGCCGGCAGCCCCGCGTGTGCCAGGGGCAGCTGGCAGCAGCCCCCCGGCTGCCTGGCTCCGGGTTGAGCCGCACGGACCCGTGACAAAGGGCCGGGATCGTGGGAGACGGGTATCTGCTCCCAGCTGTGCTCTGCCCTGGGAGCTCCCCTCCCTCCGTCTGACACGATCTGAGGTCACTTACGTAGCTCGTGAAGGAAAATAACCCGGTCCGAAACGGCTGAAGTTTTGGAGGAAGGGGTTTCTCGCTCGCTCGGTTTCTTTCTTTTCTTTGTTTACCCAGCCTGGGGATTGATGTGACTTTGTTAAGAAACACGGAAAGCCGTGCTTGGCTAAGGTGCGCTGGCGTGATATGCAGTGCGTGTTACCGGATTACAAAACCGTGCTGCCTGCCTGCGTGCAGCCGGAGCGCCGTGGCAATAACATACAGCAGGCAGCACCGGGTCTGTTCCGACAGCTGTGCCAGGCCCTTTGCATGGCACGGGATCCTTCTTCTGGGTGTTCTCCTTGTGCTGTCCGCCTTCCAATGACTCTTTTGGACTACTGTTGTCAATAAATTAATCACCGTAAACAAATAGGTGTTTTATTTCTTCTGGCAAGTTGTTCTGTAAAAACAAACGTCTCCATGTGCCTTTGGAGGCTATGAACCTATGCTCTGGGTTATGGTTACTCTGTAAGTGGGCCTAGCACCTGGCCACAATCTTGTGTAATTACCTTTTGCTGAACAAAAGAGCATTACGTGTGTCTGCCTGTGTTGTAGGCTTCAGCACTCCCTTGGATGGTTTGCCAGGGAGAAGAGACTCCAGAGACTTGATGTGACAGACTGTCATGTCTTTTAGAGGGGCGCATCCCGTTAGATTTCAGACAATTTCCATATTTACCTGTTTTTCTGCTTTTAATGAACGTGTCCCATTAAGCAGCCTCCCCCTTTCTACCTTGTCTAGAATATACCCCAGATAAAACGCAGCAGAAAAACTCCTTTATGTCATCTTGTGCTCAACTTTTTCTCGAGTCTTTTCAGTCGCTCTTCACACCTATTTGAGCTCTGGGCTTTGTCTTCAAATAATACAATGCATGACCCTTCTCCTTCTGCCCCTGTCTCCCTTCATTTTTTTTTTTTTTTGATGCTCTACCACAGTTATTGGGTTAACCACATCCTGCCTTCTTTTCTCACTCGCGTCTTTTATTGTGATATATTGTGTGCGCAAGGATAAAAATATATATGTGCTGTGTGTGTGTCTGTCTGTGTGTAACTTACAGTTAATTATTAGAACATGTCTGGAGTTTGCAGAAATCCTGTTGTCAGCACTGAAGTCTTTGTCCTTTGTTTTTTTTCCTGTCTGTGACACGTGTTTGACTAGCTATAACTGCATTGCATAGATGTCACTTCTTCTTGTAGGCTAGCTTTAAGACCAGCCTGAACAAGCTGAAGTTTCTTTAAGCATACAATTCAGTTTTTGTCTGCACCACGCAGTGGTGTCCGTAATGCTTCCGAAGCAGATTATCGCGGAGCTGGCTTTGCGAGGCTGTTTACTTTGTCACACTGCACCGGTGCTGTGCTGGCCGTAACGGAGCGGAGGGAAGCCAGGCTGTCAAACTGAGAATCCAGACACGCACGTGCCCCAGGAGGCTTGCTGGGGCGCTGCTCCAGTGGTGGTTTGTTCGCGAGCCGTCCTGCGCCGAGCTGCCAGCGTGCCCCAGTGGCAGGTAGGGTAAGGCTCTGTCCCACCTCTCAGTGCCAGCTGCGGTGATCTCACTCCCCAAGCAGCCTTTGCCTTTTAAAATGCTTGTAACCTTTATCATGTCACTTTTTACATCAAAACCAGTTGTTTTTGTTTTAACTTAGGAAGTGTTTTATTCTTCAAAGCCAGAGCAACAGGGAAACAGAAGGGGAGCATCCCTTTTTTCTTCAACAACTGGTAGCTTTTCCTAATATTTTGTAATTGCATCAACAAAGTTGTTGTGCTCCCTTGCAGAGAGAGGTCAAAAGGAAACCCACCCACCTTTGCTCGGCGTTACGTGCAGTTGCATCTTCGGTGTTTTGTGTAAATGAAACTTAGTGGTCACAATGGCTTGTGTCTGTTTTGACTCCTCGTGTTTACAGAGAGCAGCGTGTGTGGGGGCAGGTTAGAGGGCAGCGAAGGGAATGCTGCCCTCCTCTGTGTGCAGCATACGTATGGACGTAGCTCTGTTACAACACAAACCCCCATTGATTGCATTTATATGTAATCATTTTTAAATCGATGGCCCGTGCTCTCTGAAGCCTTCTTGAAAGAATGAACTTCTCTTTTCCCCCTGTCCTAGAGCAGTTCATTGATGGTACGTAAGACTTTGCCATTGAGCTTTTTTTTTTTTTTTAACAGCTTTGTCATTATTAAAAAAACATTAAGTAACATCACTTGAAAAGAAGAGTGATTCATACGCTTTCGAGGATGGTTATTTCAATTGCAGATACCTTGAGGCTTGTTGCGTTTTTTTAATGGAAAAATAAACCTGCAAAGCCCAAAACATAACATTAAAGTTCATGTA